TCGGCGCGGCCAGCTGAGGGCGGGTGAGGGCTCGCAGGTAAGGCCGGCTGCGGGGTGGGCCTCGGCGGGGCCTCTGGGGGGCCCGGGAGCTGCCTGTGGGGTTGGTACGTCTCACGCACTGCGAGCGTTAAGTGAGGCGGCCGGAGACCGGGTGGCGGCGCCCTTCGAACCTCCGTCCCCGGCGCTATCCCCGCTCGACCCGACTGTGAAGAGCGCCCCAGTCACACGCCAGGACACAACCCCTCCTTCCCGTGAACCCGTAAAGGCCGACGCCCTCTTTAAGGTGAAATGTCTGTCTCCTCACCCCAGTCGAAATTCCTCCGTGAAAGTCTCACGCCCCTTCCCCATAGTTCCTGTTTCAGGGGGCTGGAGGGCTCAGGCCTTTATTTTGACCTATCCCCGCTCGACCCGACTGTGAAGAGCGCCCCAGTCACACGCCAGGACACAACCCCTCCCTCCCGTGAACCCGTAAAGGCCGACGCCCTCTTTAAGGTGAAATGTCTGTCTCCTCACCCCAGTTGAAATTCCTCCGTGAAAGTCTCACGCCCCTTCCCCATAGTTCCTGTTTCAGGGGGCTGGAGGGCTCAGGCCTTTATTTTGAGTCTGATCCTGGCCCCCTACCCGCCGTCCCACAGTGCTTGAGCTTGGAGGGGTGGTTTGGCTCCGGTAGCAGCTTTGCTATTGAAATGGTTAATCCTGCCCCAGTCCACTGATGAGGAAACTGAGACACGAGTGGTGAGTGGAGCCCGCGTTTCCGACCCCCGGGTTAAGTGGGCACAGATGGCGTGTTTCCTTCACCCCCCAGGCCCTAGTGCACATGGCTTCTTCCCCAGCGACGGATGCGTCCCGAAAGCGACGGGAGAAGCGGCGACAGCTAGATGCACGTCGCAGCAAGTGCCGAATCCGCCTGGGCGGCCACATGGAGCAGTGGTGCCTCCTCAAGGAGCGGCTGGGCTTCTCCCTGCACTCGCAGCTTGCCAAGTTCCTGCTGGACCGGTTAGGGGACTGGGAAGGGGCTGTGGGGGCGGGCACGGACGGCAGCACGCAGCCCCCTCTCCAGGGCCAACTGATGTCCACTGCTCTTTTCCACCCTAAACTTTCTCACTTGAGTAGGACGGCCTGTGTGATTTGTGGCCTCCCAGGGTCCTGCTTCCCTCCTCATGGCCCCAGTGAATAGGAAGCCCTTAAGTCTGTCTCCTTAAGTGTGTGATTGCCCAGGGCTGAGGGTGGTTGGCCACCTGGGCCCTGACCTGATCTTCCTGTCCTCCCACTGGCAGGTACACTTCTTCAGGCTGCGTCCTCTGTGCAGGTAGGTAGGGAATGGCTGGGGATAGGAGTCAGAGGGAAGAGGGGCTACAGGGAGAGGTGTGACGCAGAAACACTCTCCCCAAGATCAGGGAGAGCCCTAAGTGAGTTTGGGGACGGAGGGAGTTGGGGCCCCTAGAGTAGTTTGGTGGGGGCAGCCTCTGAGGAAGGGAGCAATGTTTCAGGACCTTGGGAGTATGGGCTCTGAGGAATGGTAAACCGGATGGGGGCTGAGGTTGCCCTGGGGTTTGGGGCACAGGGCTCTCTTGCTGTAGCTTTCCAGGGTGAGAGGAGGAGGCCTACCAGCGCAGCCTGATTACTTCTCTCACTCTTCTAGGTCCTGAGCCTTTGCCTCCCAAGGGTCTGCAATATCTGGTGCTCTTGTCTCATGCCCACAGTCGGGAGTGCAGCCTGGTGCCCGGGCTTCGGGGGCCTGGGGGCCGAGATGGGGGGTTTGTGTGGGAATGCTCGGCGGGCCACACCTTCTCCTGGGGACCCTCTTTGGGACCTATACCTACAGAGGCACCCATGCCAGCTCCCCTTCCACGTACTTCCCGGAGAAGCTGGTGCCCGGAGGCCATGAGTGGGCAGGAATCTGCAGGTAGGCTTGGGGAGAAAAGGGTTTGGAGAAAAGAGGAAAAAGATTTCCCATCTTCTGTAGCTCAGAACCCTGTTCTCTAAAAATGATCTTTTCTCAATGAGAAAATTCTATGCTGACAAGGAAATATATCCTCAAATACATTGTTAAGTATAAAAAGCAAAACACAGAAGAGGATGTATGGTATGCTGTCATTAGTGGGAAATAAAATAAGGGGAAGAAGAATATATGCATGAATATATACTTGTGAATGTATGAAATATCTCTGGAAGGGCACATAGAAACCAAGTTACCTGTGAGAAGAACTAGGGGACTGGAGGACAGTATTGGAAAGGAGACTCTTCACTGGATACTTTTTATACTTTTATTTTTTGAACCATATGACTGTATCATCTCTGAAATAAACTACTCCCTCCCACTTCAGTAGTCTGTGACCCTCCCACCTCCCGTCCTCTTCATTCTTAAGAGTCTCCCACCACTTCAGATCTTAGAACTCCAACTGTCCTCATCCCTTGAGCCCAGAGTTCCTTCCCCTTTGGCTCTGCCTGTGCCAACAGGTTTGGAATCTGAGCATGATGAGAGGACTCAAGAGGCCAGGTTGCCCAGGTGAGGATGGGGGTGGGAGAGACAAGATGGACCTGCATGGCTAGTAGGGTTGAGGAAGCAGAACCTCAGGCTTGCCTTCCTTGGGCCTGCAGGGGCATAGGACCCCCACCAGAGACTTTCCCACCCCCAGGAGAGGAAGAGGGGGAGGAAGAAGAGGAGGACGATGAGGATGAAGAGGAGGTGCTCAGTGATGCCAGCCTGTGGACCTACAGCTCCTCCCCAGATGAGCAAGTTGGGGTTGAGGGAGCATGCTGAGCACAGGAAGAGAGGGAGGAGATGGCAGCTGGCCTGACAGTCCAGAGCTTTGCAGACTTGAGGGATGGACTTGTTGGTGGGAAAGGCAGGGTGGGCTTTGAGGAAGGAACTGAAAGCTTTCAACTGAGGGGGTGGATAGGGGTGAAATCAGGCTCTGGAGGACACTGAAGGCTGAAAGTAGATATAAATGTAGAGCCTGGGGTGGGAGTAGGGGCTAGGGTTGGGCAGGGGCTGGCTGAGTGCCCAGAGATAATATCTTCATCCTCTTCATTCTCCTTTCGCCAGTGAACCAGATGCCCCCAGACCACCCCCAAACCCTATCACCCACACACTTAAGGATGAGGAGACACCACCAGTCCCTGCAGCTCTTCCCACTCCTGTTGCTGTGCCATGCTCGACAGCATCCTCAGTGGGTTCCAGAGCTCCTCTGCCTGTGGAAGTTGGGGTGCAGCCAGAGCTCAGTGGGACCCCTCAAGCGGCCCAGCAGGTTGAGACCCTGGCCAGGTAACCAGACATCTGTGACAGAGAGGGCAGGGGTGTCCTGGGACGTGGCCCTCCCTCGAGGCCCTCTGCTCCCTCTTTGCTGCCTGTAGCCCTGGGAGTCAGGCCCAGTCTGCTCCCTTCCCAGCCTTGGATGAGGACACTGCACAGATCGGCCCCAAGAGAATTAGGTAAGACTTGGGGAGACAGGGCTTTGGTGAGAACTGAGAGGAAGGAGGCAGAGGAGAGAGGACAGGAGTGCTTCTGCTCCTCTGTATTCTCCTCCTCTAGGAAAGCTGCTAAAAGGGAGCTGATGCCTTGTGACTACCCCGGCTGTGGAAGGATCTTCTCCAACCGGCAGTATTTGAATGTGAGGAGCACAGGCGAGGACTGTGTAACCGCTGGGGTGGGGGAAAAGGACTGAGGAAAAGGAGCCTAAGGTATGGGGGGATTAGAAGCCAGGAAGAGGAGGGTTGAGGTGGACATGCAGAGTTTTCTTATAAATGGTAATCATTAAGCCAGATGACTGGTAGATAAGGCAGAAAAAACAAGCCTCAGGTGTACAGAGCTGCTGCCCACTACTGCTTGTTCCATGGATCCTCCAAGGACCACACAGAGATGACAGCAGCATTTATCAGTTTCTCTTGGGGTGCTAGCAACAGTTCTAGCCACTCAACATGTGTAAAGTCTTTGATCCTCACTACATCACTATGGAGTAGATGCTGATATCATTCCCACTTTGCAGATGAAAAAACTGAAGCACATAGAAAGGTTAAGCATTGCCTGAGGCTCCTCAACTAGTATGTGATAGTGCTGGGGTTCCAAGCCTGAAGGCCTAGCTCCTGAGTCCGTGCTCAGGCTGCCTCACCATGCCTGCTCGAGTAGGTAGTCCTAGAGTGAGAAGGACTGGCAGATGGTTCTGTCTGCAACCTCATTGCATGAGAAGTTTGAGGCATAGAGAGGGAAGAGCCCAAGTCTCATAGTCAGCCAGAGCCCTTGGAAGGGCAGATTCTGAGTTTGAGGGAGGGCCAAAGATCAGAGGGGTGGTAAGGCATGGGTAGACAGGACAGGGGAGAATGCTGTCCACAGAAGATGACATAGGAGGAGTCAAGTGAAAAAAGAAGAAAGTCCTGGAGCAACAGTGAAGCTGTAGGATGAGAAGAGCATTTGGCAGGGGCTGGTCAAACATTCTAGGGTCTATTATGTTAGTGAAGCAGCCTCCAGATGTTTAGCTGTGGAAAAACAGGATTATGAAGAAGGAGGAAAGCCCATGCAACTTAGTGAGCCAGGATGTGAAATTAGGTCAGATAAAAAGAGAAATACTTCCACATTGGGGAGTTAAGATTAAAGAACCTGTTAACCTTAAAAGTGTGCTAGGTTAGGGCCTGCCCATGGCTCACTTGGGAGAGTCAAAGGTTAAGATTCCCTTACCAGTCATCTTTAAAAAAAAAAAAGTGTGCTAGGTTGAGAGAGAGTATGTGTGTGTGCACGCATCTGTCTGTATCTGAAGCAGATTTAGAAGAAAATCATATATACCCGTGGTGAGCTATTAAATAAAAAGTAGTAGTCTGAGAGACATTGTTGTACATTAATACTGGTATCAACGAGGATAATCACACTCACCCAAGCTACTTTCCCCTCCTTGGCAGACAGTGAATCCATAGTTAGGTGAACCACAAGTTTCACCCTTGTACAAGGGTGAAAGGCACTTTGTACAAGGAACGTTGCAGGACATTGCAGAGAGAGGGTGTGGCAAGAATGTGAGATAATGGAAATTGAGAGCAGAGTAAGGTGTGGACAGAGTTAAGTGTCAGGATGGGATGCACATGATGCTCGTAGTGTAGTTCAGGACTAGGCCAGAACTGATAGGGTACGGGGGACAGGAGAGCAGCAGAGGAGCCTGCCAGGTCAGCTCAGTTGGTCTCTCTGGGGAAGGCAGCTATTCTTTTGCCTCTTCTCCCCCTGCCACCCACTTCATTCTCTAGCACCACAAGAAGTACCAGCACATCCACCAGAAGTCCTTCTCCTGCCCAGAGCCAGCCTGTGGGAAGTCCTTCAACTTTAAGAAACACCTGAAGGAGCATGTGAAGCTGCATAGTGGTGAGTGGTGGAACTCCACTTGATCTCCCTCTGTGGGGCCTGTTACCTCCCTGTAATGGAGGTGCTCTGTGAGAAAGGACTCTTACTCATGTATCCTGCATTTCCTGTTTTAGGTGTTAGGTACAGCAGTGAACAAAGTAGGCAGCCCTAGCCCTTGTGAGATGTATGCTCTAGTGATACTGGGCCATCAGGAGGTGTAAAAGAAGGAGAAGATAGAAGAGCATGAGGCAGGAGTTGCTGTTGTAGAAAGAGAAGATACTTTAAGCAAATAATTAAGCAAAGTGAGAAAAAGAGACCTGTACCCTACAGTGTGCAGACAGCACATGTGGGAAGGCCCTGAGGTGGTGTCTGCATGGCATGTTCCAGGGATAGGAGGCCAGGAGGTTAGAAAGGAAGGAAGAGAGGTCCCATAGTGGTGGCAGCCTCTGAGACCACCGTCAGGATGGCTTGGCTCTTGCTTTGAGTGAGATGTGTGCCATCGCAGGGTACTGAGTGGTGGAGGACATGGCTGATTTTTAAAAAGATTACTGTGGTTGCTGTGTGGAGAACAGGGGGACTGCAGATGGGCAGAGCCAGGTGTTTAGCCATAAGATGACTGCAGGGCCGGCCTGTGGCTCACTTGGGAGAGTGCGGTGCTGATAGCACCAGGGCCACGGGTTCAGATCCCATATAGGGATGGCCGGTTCTCTCGCTGGGTGAGCGTGGTGCTGACAACACCAAGTCAAGGGTTAAGATCCCCTTACCGGTCATCTTTAAAAAAAAAAAAAAAAAAGAAAAAAAGAAAAAAAAAAAAAGACAAAAGATGACTGCAGAGATATGTACATGGGCTGGACTTGCTGGTAGCAGTGGAGTTGGTGAGAAGTGGCTGGCAGATCAACAGTGAGGAAGGCAAAGAGAGCGGTATCTGAGGAGCCAAGTGCAGAAGGTGCTCCAGGCAGAGGGAGGGATGACTGCCAGTGCCTCGGGCCAAGTAAGGTGAGAATAGGCCATCAGATGTGGCAGTGGGGAAGCCTTCCTTGTCTAGATGACAAGCTGGTGCTGACAAGAGAGGCTGACAAGCCACGGTATGGTAGACAGAATGGAGTGGGTTCTAGGCAGAGTGGAGCTTAGGAAGTGGAGGTAGCCAGTGTGGATAGCTCTTTGGCATTTTGCTGTGAAGACGAGCAGAGAAATGGGGTTTTAGCTGGCAGGCCATGGGCTTGGGGCACAGAGATGGGAATGATTCCATGGAGAGGAAAGGCTTGCTGATACTGGGGCAGGGTGGGGCACCTCGAGTGAAAAGAGGTGGGTCTTGAGGGGCATGGTGGAGAGCGGCCACAGGAGAGCAGTTTGAGTATTCACATATATGGGCACTGATGCAAGTTGGCTGGTGGATTTGGTGAGCAGAGGATGTAGGTTTTCTCTCTTTTCTTGGTGACTTAAAAAACCAGAGCACCGCTGAGTCAGAATGATGAGCTGGGGGTGTTGAAGGCTGGTGGAGAGAGGAAGGGGTGTGAAATGTCTTCTGGATTCTAGAGAGTGGGAGAGCGAACTGACCAGGGAAATGCCTGTGGGGTCCCTTGAGACCTATGTTCATAGATGAAAGGAGAGGCTGTGGGGGGGATTTTGCCCCCTCAGTACATATGTGCAGGCCTGGAGCAGGCCAAGGGTTGTGTGTCCTGATTTGGGCTTTAACCAAGCAGGTGCAGCTGAGGGAGAGGGGGCAAGCAGATTGGTAGTGTGAGTAAGGGAAGGCTATAAAGACGGATGTGGAAATGGAGCCGAGAGGGAGGGGGATAGTGGGAAGGTGGTGGGGCCAATGGACTGCTGGCCTGGAGTTGTAGGATTATCATGGCCGGACAAGGTAGGAAGCTCTGGCTTGAACCAGGATGATTGAAATTGCAATTTCCGAGGCAGTGCGGTGCTTGGGAGTGACCTGGGTAGTGGCTGAGGAGGGTGAGGGATGAGTTCTGTGGAAGTCACGGAACAGAGGGGTGGAGTGATGAACGATAGGAGTAATGGCTGATAGGAGTAGAGAGCCTGGTGTCAAAGTCACGTGGATCGAGGAGTGATGGGGACCATGGGAGGAGGCTGCAGGGGTGTACGTGTGTGTAGTCTGATGGCAGGTCTTCAGGGAAGTGGTGGGACAGAGGTCTGAAGGGCACCATGAAAACCAAAGACACCTTCTCTCCTGCAGACCCTGATAGCTTTTGGTGGTATAGGAGAAAACCACAGCAGCCTGTGAGAGCTGCTGGAGACGCAGTTATCAAGGGCAATAGGCAGGTGCTTTTGGAACTAGTAGGGAGGGCAGGTTGTGGGAAAAAGAGAGGAGAGGGGATTGGCTGCCTACAGAAAGGGAGTTCCACAGAGCACTTAGAGGGGCACTGATATTCACGACTGAATGGGGAAATTATTCCAGGTGCCAGGGAGTGTCCTTTGGGTTCGGAGTTCAGTCCTAATTCCCATGCCTGACCTAAGGCTTCTGCAAGGCTGCTGCCTAGTACCTTCTATCGATATATAAGGATCCAGCTTTCTATTCCTTGTGTCTTCTTTGACAAAGACCCATCATAGAGATCCAGATGCTGGGAGGTGAACCCCATTGGGAGTTAGTGGTTTTAGCAGGGTTGGGGGTGACAATAATGAAGTCTTGTAGCCAGAGGTCACATTGTTTGTGTTCATATCTCACTTGATTGTCATGACCCATCAGATAAAGGAGGTCCACACAGGCTCTCTGATTTAAACAATAACTAATTAGAATCCAGGCCTCCTGACCCCCAGTACTGGTGCAGTCCTGTGGGAGATGGCAGGTGGGTAGGGTGAGGAAGGGCCACAGCCTGGGGACGGATTCTAGACTGTCTCTCGTGTGTTTGCAGACACCCGGGACTACATCTGTGAGTTCTGCGCCCGATCTTTCCGCACTAGCAGCAACCTCGTCATCCATAGGCGCATCCACACTGGAGAGAAACCCCTGCAGTGAGTGCTGGGGGAGAGTTGTAAGGGCCAGGAGCCACAGGGGAGGAGGTAGGGCCTGGCAGCCAAGCACGCAGGACACCCAGGCAGAGGAGGAGGAATCCCTGGGGAGGTCAAGATGGGCCGAGTGCTTTCCCTTCCTTCCTCTGTCCCTGGCTACAGGTGTGAGATATGCGGGTTCACCTGCCGCCAGAAGGCCTCCCTGAACTGGCACCGGCGCAAGCACGCAGAGATGGTGGCTGCCTTGTGCTTCCCCTGTGAGTTCTGTGGCAAGCGCTTTGAGAAGCCAGACAGCGTTGCAGCTCACCGCAGCAAAAGTCATCCAGCCTTGCCCCCAGCTCTACAAGAGTCACCCAGCCACTTGGAGCCCTGTCCTAGCATTTCTGCCTCTGAACTCCTGGGGTCCAATGAGGAGTCCAGGCCTTCACTGTCTTCTCAGGATCCCTCAGCAATGAGCTCTTCTCCTACCTTCCGCTTCAGGGGCCAGACCCCAGGAATTGAAAAGGAATGAGGAGGAAAGGACCCAGAGGAGAAACGCCACATGCCTGGTCCCCAGGAACTGTGGCAACAGTGCAGGGCAGGGGCAAGATTGGGTTTTAGGGGAGCTGGACTACTTTAGTCTTTCTACAGGACAGAATAAACAGTATTTTACTTGGGCATGTGTGAGCAGAGCCAGTGTTTCAGAAATCCTCAATTCCTTTGAAAGCAGGCTCCACTAGAATGCAGCGTATGTGCAGGCTCTGTTCCTCTTTGCAGGCTCTCACCTGCCCTGACCCTGAGGGCCCAGTTTTCTTTCTAGACTCACTTTGGCATTTTACAGCCCTTTCCTGTGGAGTATGACACCTCTCCTCACACTTAAGCAGAGTAGGCTATAACAGTATGGAGAGTCACTCCAGGGGACCAGCTGGGGCAGGAATAGAGGCATACAGTCCTGGGCCATCTTGTATTTGCCATTCATTGAGACGACCAAATGTGTAGGTTCTGAAAAGTTTTGCCTTCTAGTGCAGAATCAAGGGGTCCTATGTACAAGATTGCTGAGCTACCTTGGGAAGAGATGTTAGAATTACAAAGTGCTTGGGCTCTTGGATCACTCTCTAAGTCTGTGAAGACAGCGACCTTAGATTTGACAGAGGGAGCTCTCAGCATCCAGAACCCAAACAACTCTTTATTTCAGCAGCCATAAGCAAAAAATCCAGGGAATTTTTCCATCCTTCTCTCTCCCCTTTATGGAATCTGTTTCCCCATGGCTTCAAGCTTGATTTGGAAATAACATTCTGATGTGCCACTTAACAGTGCTGGGCTTTGTGGGCCCACATGGTCTTGGCCTGGGTCCCAGGGCAAATATCCCTCACCTGGCTGGAGAACACTGTCCTGAGAGGCATCTTGATCTGCTGACCCACCTTCACATGAGTGGGCCACCTCTCCCAGGGAGCAGGCAGTTCCTGCATAGAGATGCCCTTCACTGAAGTGAGCTCTCCCTCTGTCCCTCTCTGCCTGCAAATTTCCCACCTCCACAACTCTCTCAGAAAGAGGGAGAAAGCAGTCAGGTGGAACCAAGAGGCAAGAAGGCCAGAGGGCTGGTGAGATGTGACTGCAGCCAAATCAGTAATCATTACCTGAAAAGGCAGGACAGCAAGAGTACTGGGGCAGGAGAGACAGGAGATGTAGGCTAGAATAAGGAGATGGGACAAGAGAAGACGACACAGACAGGAAACCAGGAAAGAAACACCAGAGAGCACAGCAGCAGCAATGGGACACACCAATACCTGGGCTCTCTTCCACACACGGGGCTGAGGGGTTTGCCTGATTCCCTGCACCTACACCCCAGAGGGAGAGAAGACAGGAGATACAAGGACTGAAGATGGAAAAAGCTGACAGGGAAGTAGATGTAGTGGTGACACAAGAGCCCAGGTGAAGGAAGGGCTGCCCAACAGAAATGGGAGAAGCAGCAGGCCATGCCATCTTTTTTTTTTTTTTTTTTAAAGATGACCGGTAAGGGGTTCTTAACCCTTGACTTGGTGTTGACAGCACCACGCTCACCCAGTGAGCTAACCGGCCATCCCAATATGGGATCCGAACCCATGGCCTTGGTGTTATCAGCACCGCACTCTCCGAAGTTAGCCACTGGCCAGCCCAAGGCCATGCCATCTTTGCCCGCGGAGTCGCTCTACTGTCCCTGTGGCGCAAATTGGGTGCTTGCCCGCTCCCTTTCGGAGAAGCCTCTCAGCAAGTCTCCCTGAACTGAGACACAAGGAGCCCCGGCTTCTCCTGTCCAGTCAGCCCCGCAAAGACAAGGGTAGCACTTGCTACAGTCTCTGTGACAGTAGTGGAAGCGGCAGCGGTGCGGGCGCGCCTGTGGGCCCGCTGGTGCTGCGACAGTGAGCGACTATGGCTGAAACACTTGCCGCACTCCGCGCACTCCACTGGCCGCTCGCCCAGGTGCGTTTTTCGGTGCAGCGCAAGCTTGGAGGCAACGCTGAAGGCCTTACCACATTCAGGGCACTTGTGTGGCTTGTGGCCAGCGTGGTTACGCCGATGCACGTTGAGGTTGGACACGCACGTGAACTGCTTTCCGCAGAGCTCACAGTGGTAGGGCTTCTCGCCCGTGTGTGTACGCCGATGCTTGGTGAGGTCCGAGCGGTCGCTGAAGCTGCGGCCACAGTCAGGGCATGGGAAGGGTCTCTCGCCTGTATGGATGCGCTGGTGCACCACGAGATCCGATCGCTGCCCGAAGCCCTTGCCACAAGTGGTGCACGAGTGTGGCCGTTCACCTTGGTGGCTACGCCTGTGGCGCAGCAGCGTGGAACTCTCGCTGAAGCAGCGCCCGCAGTCACCGCATGCGTATGGCTTTTCGCCCGTGTGCGTGCGCTGGTGACGTACTAGTGTGGCGCTCTCCAAAAAGCCCTTGCCGCACTCGGGACACTTAAAGGGCTTCTCGCCCGAGTGCGTCTGCAGGTGTCGCGTCAGTGTAGAGTTCTTGCTGAAGCTCTTGCCACACACACTACACTGGTGTGTGTCCCTGGCGCAGGGTCGCTGGGGCGTGGGGTCACCGGAGCTCCGGGCCACGTGGACACGCGCGTGACTCCGTAGTCCCGCGTGGCTGCGGAAGGACCTTGGGCAGTGAGCGCATTGGTGGGGCGGGTCAGCGGGGACAGTGGTTGTCCCCGACCGGTGTGCCCGCGCCTGGTGGAAACGCAGTGCGCTCTGTCGGAAATTGCGGGCGCACAGTGGGCAGCGGCGGGGCCGCTCAGGCGGGTGCTGGCGGCGCTGATGCAGGAGCAGCGCTGGAAGGTGTGGGAAGCGGTGGCCGCAGACGCGGCAGGGGCGGGCGCGGCTGCGCCGTCTGTGTGCACTCAGGTGCAGGTCGAGGAGGCTGATGTGGAGGAAGCTCTGGCCGCACTCACTGCAGATGTAGAGGGTTTGACCGGCGTGGGCGCGCCTGTGCGCTCGGAGGTCTGCAGCCCCAGCACAACGCTCACCGCACTCTAGGCAGCGGAAGCGGGTGCCATTGCCATGGGCATGCTCATGCCGCAGCAGCACAGAGCTGTAGCGGAAGCTCTTGCCACATTCGCTGCACGCATAAGGCCTTCCCACTGCCACCGCCCGCGATGCCTCGAGCATGATGAGGACGGACCCACAGCGTGCCGCTAGCACTCTGGTGTTCGCCTCCTCGTGCTGCAGGAAATTATTAGTTTTCTTGAAGCCTGAAAAGAGAACTGTAGCAGAGTGGAGAGAGGGAGACCTCAAAAACTGGTCTGCGGATTCCAGGGTTCCCTTTCTCACAGTCAGGCGTTGCGGTTGTTCCAGAGGCGAGCTGTGGCCAGTTTCACCCTGCTCCGTGAGCCCTGCGAGGAAAAGGTCACTGTGAGCCCCAGCAACAGCCAGCAACAGGTCCGCCTTGGGGAATGGAGAGGGGAACACGAACTCCTGATTTCCTCTAATTTCCTCAGATAGTCCATCTCCTGATTACCTTCTTTAAGAGGAGGCAAAGCCATGGGAGTCCCAGAAATATGGAGGGGTTATCTTTGTACCACCTGAAAGGCAGGAGGGACAGACTGCGCTGTTCTGGAGAACAGGCAGGAAAGGATTCAGAGGAGAGCTTGCATTCAGTGCGGAACCAGCCGTCAACACTGCCCAGGAGGGAAGGAGGAGGAGTGACCAGCCTGTTTTCCGGCCTGAGACCTGGGATCTCCGCCTGCGGATGCATTAAGAAATAACCAGGAGGTACAGGGCAATGAGAAGGTCCCAACACCTTCCTCCAAGACCTAGGTTTCTTGAGTCACCAACGTGAGACCAACAAGCTGGGCTGGACTGGAAGGACAAAAAGGGCAATGTGATGAAATGCAAACGCAGCAGCAGCACCCTGGGCAAAAGACTCAGACCCTGATGTTACCAAAGGGGCTGGAGACTGGACAAGGGAACGTATTTGAGAAACCCCCAAATATTGTTCCTTGGCTTTGCATAGTATCCAATAAACAACTAACCCACACCAGTACACAGCCTCAAAGTTGAGAAAGCAACTCAGGACTGAGGAAAGGCGTGAAAAGGGAGCATGGATTCACAAAAAAACCTATCAGAAATTGTAGCATTATCTAAGAAGTGCTTTTCACATTTTCTGGAAAGGCTGGGGAGGAGGACGGGACAATCTTTCTCAGGTATCCAAGCTGCTTGTGAACATTCTGCACTTTCCTCACTGACCCAGTCCCAGGTATCTGAGAACCTGGATTTATGGAGACCAAATCTGCTTTGCTATCTTGTTTATCTAAAATGGTATCCCTGAATCCTTCAGTTGCTCCAGGCAGCTGTTTGGGAGCAGGGACAGCCTTTGTCTTACTTCACATGCTCTCTAGTTAAGAGCACAAATGTGGCTACCCTCCTTGCCTGGCTGGCCTCACCACTGACTCAAGTTTAAGTATAGTGTTATTTCAGTATAGTCCTGTGTCACCCAACAGATCAGGGAGAGGAAGTAAACAAAATGTCAGCAGTCAACTTCTTATTAGCATATGGAAATTCATCATAAATACCAAAAACTTTGGTGAAAATGCCCTCATGGATAGGGTCCTCATCTTTTGGATGCAAATAGGGTAAAAACAAACAAACAAAAAAGGCTTGAAAAAAGCAAACCTGTGGGGGTGGGCTCTGGAGCTTCCTCTCCTCTCCACACTGGGCAGGAGTGGCCATCATGGGATGTCCTCTCGTGCCTCTGGAGCAGAATATCCTATGCCCTGCAGGGGTGAAGTATGAGGGAAAAAGCGAATTTAAACTAAGCAGGAAGACAGAAGCAGGGGGAAAAAGAAGAGGGAAGTATTTTCTAAAGGAAGGTATTTTTTAACGGACACTTTCAAATATAAAAAAACTAGGAAGAATAGTAGCATGTATCACTCACTCAACATTTTGCCATTCTTGTTTCATCTATGTCACCATTCTACATTTTTTGTCTGGAGTATTTTAAATCCCAGACATTTTATTCAAAGAGGATAATTTTTTCAAACAAAGTCTGCAAGCAGGGGCAGGAACCCCTCCGCAGACCCAAGAGCAGACTTTAGAGGGAGTCACTTGGTTCCTCCAGAGGGAACCCTCAACCTAGACACTTGGGCTGCTGATACCAGTTGGTTGTCAGTTCAAAGGCATGCTTGCCCTCATGAGAATGAAGCCTTCCCTGGAGACCCAGGGGCTGATCCTAAATGCCAAAGAACAATGCTCATGCCCTGGTGAATGCTCTGCCTCACTTGGGGGCCTCCAGGAACCATGGTACCTCTCAAGCCATGTTTCTGTAAGCCCACTCTCTCCCAGGCCACCACCTCCAAGGGCACATGGCCAAGGACGATAAGACAAATGCACAAACATAAACATGTACACATAAATGGCAATATAAACAAAGATACCACTTTCTCCCATTGTGGACGTGGAGTATGAGAAACTCTGGTCTAGGGTGCAGGTATGGTATTTGAGTGCCAGGGCAGGCCCTTCAAGTCTCTCTTCTCTACCTCACCCCATGTTGCAGCTCACCCCAGAAGCAAAGTGGTCTGTGCCTGGGATGGAAACCTGAAATAAAAAGTAAAATATTACTCTGCCAAAAAGAACAATTTCTAGGCTGTTCTATCACTTTCCTGATTGTGAGTTTTGAAGTTGTTATGCCACTAAATTTCTTTAACTTTGGAAAAAAAGTAAGTACAGGAAGGCTTGGAAAGAGGGGAGGGGGAAATTAAGTGAATTAGTGGAAAGTCCTAATTATTGAATAATTTAAAGTATTTTAGTACCCTTCAAGCATTTAATACTTACAAATACTATAATAAAACTTAAAAAAAATATATTAATAAGATAAGCTAATGGAAAAATTAACATTCACAATAGATTCAAGATAAACTTCTAAGTTTCATATATCACTATTTTTTTTGTTGTTTCTTAGTAGATATTGTAGGTATTTCATACCATATGAAATTCATCAAAAATTACAAATCAAGAGTGTTAGAATTAATCAGTATTTAGAACATTTATTAACGATCTACTGTGAAACATTTTCCTTCTGAGTTGCATCCTTCTGTCAGAATATAAAGACTCTTCTTCCCTCGCTATCTGTTCTGCCATGCCAGCATTTCTGGGGTTAGGACAAGAGAACCTAGAAAGTCATGATTCACAAGAGGCAAGTAATCATCTTGAGGTTCCTCCATTGAAGCCAGATTTGGATAGAACTGGTTTGGGCTGCAGGGAGTGGGGCTGAGGGGAACTGTTCAGAGCTGTGCTATTACAGTAGTGAGTCACATGTGACTGAGCAGTGGTTCCTCCATTGAAGCCAGATTTGGATAGAACTGGTTTGGGCTGCAGGGAGTGGGGCTGAAGGGAACTGTTCAGAGCTGTGCTATTACAGTAGTGAGTCACATGTGACTGAGCAGTTGAAACATGGCCGGTCCAAATTGAGATGTGCTGTCAGGGTCAAACACAGTCCTCATTTCAAAGACTTAGGATAATAAAAGAATGTGAAATATCCCATTAATAATGTTTAATGTTGATTACATGTTCCAATAATTTATATATATTGGGTTAAATAAAATATTAAAATAAATCTCACCTGTTTTTAAGAAAATTTAATATTACAAATGTGTCTCACATTTGATTTCTATTGGATAGTGCTTGTCCAAATTGCCTTTCCAAATCCTGGAACAATGTACAAAGGAAGGCTGGCCCACTTCACTGTTTCTGGAGGGCTTTGGTTGGGAAAAGGTCGCTGACCCCGCCCGACCCTCAGAGCCTTTGTAACTATGGAGGAGGGCCATCCTCCTCAGTGCCCAAGGCCCCAGCACCTAGATAACCCCTCTAGAGAAGTCCACCTGCTCTTATGGAAAGTGGATGTCTGTGCTGCCCATCTAGGAGACCTGGTTGGGATTTGGGATTGTGACTTATACAATGCCTTCTCTCACTGCTACTCTCAGATGGTGAAACCATTCCCTCTTGTTACTAGCATCAACACATAACCTCTCACATGTTTGTATGTACGTCCCCCTTTCATCCTCCTAGTAGTCCTCGGAGGTGGATGCTATCAATTACCCCCATGCAACATGAGGTTCCCATGCAGGCTTATCCAGAGTTATCCAGCACAAGTGTGGCAGGTGGGTCAGGGGACGAGAGGTGGGCAGTAGACCAGGTGGCCAGTCTTTCACTCGGCCCGCGGCAGCCACTACCCCTTCCCAGAGGTCCCAGCTGGCCTGCAGCAGCTCACTGAACTGCAGGGACAGGCCTGTTTGTGGGGCCTGGTGGGAACCACTGGCAGCCACGGAACAAGGGCAATCCCACCCCCAGGGATTGCTGCTTGTGGTCCCAGGTTTCCAATTGTGTGCACCACACTAATCTTGGGGCACCGGCTTGGGAAATGGAACTGTCCCCATTAGAAGCTGGGGATGATAGGGTGAGGAATTGTAGCCACATCCTGGAGAGGTGATTCTTCTGCTGGCTTCTCCCTGTGTCCTTACCCCTGGGGAGATGAGAGATGCTGTTGTCTCCAGACTTCTGTGACATCCCTAGAGTGCCCTGAAATCCAGACCAGACAGAAGCAAATTACCCATTCCCCACTCTGGACTGGGTGTGGAGTAGAAAGGTTTACTTGGACCTCGGGAGCCTTCTTTGAGCCCTTTCCATTTGCAGTTTCTTCCATTGGGAAAACCCAATGGAGCTCTTTTCAAATAACCCCTCTTTGGAGACTTTCCCTTTGCCCCTCTCTATGCTCTCCCTCCACCCCATTACTGAGCTTTATTCTGAATTAATCAGTGAAAGTAACAGGAAACAGTTATTCCCATCCATTCTGGAAAGACATAAGCCCTATTCTAGGAAGTGAGGATGGGGAATGGAACTCAGAGCACCAGAATGCCACTCTTTGCTTCCTTCTACCCTGTAACAGAAACAAGGTCTAGTACTTTAAAAGTTGTTCCTTTCAGCTTCAGAACCAGTCTGACATGTTTAAGAAACTGGTAAAAATAGGAATGACAGCTCCCTCCCACCCCAATTGCCTTAGTCTAATTATGATCCAAATACATCCTTTTGGAAGTTTTGTTTTCACAAAGCTTTTCCTGTGAAATTTGGGTAGTGTGGAGAAAGTATGGATGTAGGCAGATAGAGAAAATTCATAGTATGAGTTTATCCTCTGTCCCTTTGACACACGAGTAAAACTGAAGCCCAAAGTGGCCACAGCATCCCAGAACAGGGATGAAAGAAGGGACTGTAGGATCTTTTGCACCCTCTCTGGGCCTAGCAAGAAGTTGAGCACATGTAAGGCACTCAGCACTTCTTAAAAATGATGTATTAGTCTGGAATCCAATTCTCCCAAATGTTAGATTCCTGGAGGAGAGTGCCTCTCTCTATAGCCATCTTATCCTCCATAGCTCTATCCGCTGTAGATACTGCACTCTGCTTTGGTTTACTGAGTCAGGACTGCAATCTGTTTGGGAGAAAGAGAGGCAAGCGTCCAAATTCTGGTTCTTCCATTACTAGCTGTGCGACCTTGGACAGGGGACCTAGGGAATGTGACTCTCCTGCCTGGGAAAACTTAGTAAAGGAAGCTATTATAATGTTTCATGTGAAAAGAGGGAAGGTCAAAATATTTGTAAGTCTGAGATCAGTGGTTGCTCAGTGCTTAGAATTTACTCTCTTCAGGACAGTCCTTCTTTGGAGGGACCCTGAATAACGGGCCTGACTCCTGCCTCCACTCCAAGCGTCCTAAACTGTCTGCAAGCACTTATCAGATCTTCCCCGACCCCTAAGAATCCGTCTTAACAGGGTTAGAGCAGCGTGAGCCTTCCCTAAGCCCATCTCCGCGCACCGTGAGCTCCGAGAGTAAAGCAGGGAAGCTGGCTATTCCTTTTAAGACTGGGTACCAGAAGCTGAATACAAGTATTCGCGGAATGAGAAACGTTGCACCTGAATGGGTGGCCCTCCAAAGCCCCGCCGCAGAGCTGCCAATCCCGGAACGCCTCGGTCAGCGCGCTTACGAGTTGCTGGGCAACTTTCCCTGGACGAGACCCTCCCCATCTGCCCCCGGGCCCACCCTACCCCTTGCCTGCGGCGCCAGCCAACCCGGAGGGCGAGACAGGACACCAAAAAACGTGGTGGGGAGTGGGGGGCGTTTAACGCTAACAGAGCCCGGTGGTTGTCGCTGTCCCTTTATTCCAGTTTTGTCTGGCGATGTCTGCGACGTGGGGCCGCCAGCCCCGAAGGTCACCGAGGAGAATTAGCGAGGACAGGCGGAGGACAAGGCCTGGGAGGAGCAGGCCGCGCGGTGGCCCGCGGACGTGTTTCGGCCAATTGCTCGCCCCGCAGCGCCTCGCGTCACTCGTCGCCGGGACTGCACTCCAGACCGCCGCAGACACCAGTCGCCTGGGGCGGAGGGGAGAAGACAGGCGACAGCTGAGGAACGCTGTCCCGCGCCACCCATGCCCTCTCGGCCCCTTGGTTCTCTCACCGGTCGCCGACTGGCTCCTCTGGCACCGCGCGGTGCACTCAGCGGGCCCGCCGACCCCCGCCTCCCGGACTGCAAGCGTGGACGGGCAAGGGAGGAAGCGGCGGGCGGAGCGCACGGCCACGGAGTCGGGGGAGCAGGTAGGCGCCACAGCGTCCGGCGCCTCGGGAGAGGGGGTCACGCTCCAGGCCCGATCCCCGTCGGCCAGTGGTCGGCCTCGTGCGGGCCGTGTCACCGGTTGCTGGGAAGACTGGGAGGCGTGCGAGCACTGTACTGTCGGTTTAGCCTCTTCTGCCCAAGCGGGAGTCCCGGAAAGGGGGCGGGGCTCATAGGGAGAACCGGGACAGACTCGGGCCCCGCCCCCTTCCCAGGCATAACCAATCCCTTCCTCCTCCTTTGCCCGCCTGCCCACCCCGAGGCCTTGTCCTGTCCAATCATAGGCAAGGGCGCCGAGCCCTGCGCGCCACCTCAGACCCCCGCAGCTTGGTCAGGGGAGCTGGGCCTAGCGTTTCTGCTGCTCGCTGGAGCCATGGAGGCCGCGGACCAGTGTTCCCCTTGATGCTGCTGCAGTGGTAGCCGGTGCCCGGCACGGATCTGGCCAAGCGGGCCGCCCGCCCAAACAGTCCCAGTAGTAAGTTAGTGACTTTTTACAGTGACGCCGGACTTGATTCATATTATCTCCCTTAATTCTCACGACAGCGCTGCCAGGGGCTATTTTCCCCATATTCCCACAAGTTACTGACTCGTCCAAGGTCGCACTGCCAGGAGTAGGGGGTACTCCTAATCTACTTGCCAGTCGCCTTTCCGAGAGACTGCTGAACACTCTAAATGTTTACTCTGTCTTCTTCCACTGGGAGGTGCTACCAGTGTTGTTTTCCGGAAATGCATTTGGGAGCCTGACCACCCTCTTTTCAGTGGCTGTCTTATTAGAAAAGACTCCCAAGGATGGCCCTCAAGATCATTCTCTACTTGCTCTAATCTTCCTCTGAGGTCACCTAGTAACACTCATCCTGTTATACAACCAGAGCTCTGCTCAGTGGTCCCCTAAATCAGTGTACGCTTTGACCTCTCACGCTTGGCCTGGAGAACTCTTCCCCTTTTTTCTCCTTTAATTCCACTAATTTGTAAAAGCTTAGTCAAATGTCATCTCCATAAACCTATGCCAGAATGCTCCTCACCATCCTCAGTCCTGCAAATGCATCCATGCTGCAACGCAACCCCTTGCATGTTGTTATAGTTGATGAACATTCTTCCCCCATAGTTTAAGGGACAGACCTCATTCCACTCATGAACAATCCCCTGAAGCATAAGCACAGGGCCTACACAGCACAGATGCTGAATGACTGTTTGCTGACTTGCATATGACAGCATGGGGTAAGGCAACAGATCTGGCAGCAGCAGGCAAGGAAGCTGAAAACCAAGACACAGGATGAAGTCCTGGGGTGATGACAGCCTGAACCAGGAACGTGTAAAAGTAATAGAAGTGGAAAAGGAAAATGTGCCTTAAGTATGTATTTTTTTAAAATGTAAAGAACCATACACAGATAAGGCAGTATTATGCAGTGGATGACCAGTTGAGGATAATTCCAAAGTCTTTAAAGCCAGAGATATAGACTAATTGAGACATTTCTGGACTTACTACTCAGTATTGATGTCATGCTTTTAAGGGACACTGACACATTTGGCTAATTCCAGAGGCATGACTAGGATGGTGACAAATAGGTCACATAATTGAAGAGGCTGGGGATATTTAACCTGGAAAAGAGAAAATGTTTTGTGTACATATGGCTGTTTGCAAATTTTGACAAATTGTCATGTGAAAGAGGGCTGGATTAGACGATGTTCTTTTGTGTAGCTATGGAGGGAAGAACTTGAACAATGGAGGGAATATACAGGAAGGTGGATTTTTGTTTCTTATGCTATGGGAGTCATCACAGTGAGGAATTGTAATTGAGTGTAGTGAGAGAAAGGTCAAGGATGAAGTTATGTGCACACTTGTCAACTAGAAAATAACTGATCCAAATGGTTTTCTTTCCTGCAAATCTACATCAATAAATGACAACTCCCAATGTGGTTCTGTAAATATTCAAGATATTTATGGAGGGTCTACTATACATCAGTTATTGTTCTAGGCGTTGGGGATACAGCTATGAACTGCAAGATGAATCTCCCTAAAGTAAAGCTCTGATTATTTCTTATTCCTGCTGAAAAACTGTCAAAAGTTTGTATTAGCCACCAAAGGAAGTTTATTCTGGTGTTACACCCAGATCCTTTTCCATCTGTTCCAACCTGCCTTTCTAGTCTTTTCTTTCCAACTCCCCACTAAACTGGATCTCTACTCACCCACCTTCTACATTTCTCTCAGTCTGGAATACACTCCTCCTACTACTCCACCTCTTCTTGTCCTCAAAGTCCTACTTATCGTTCAGTGCTGTGTTCACATGCCAACACATCCTCAAATTGAAAACAGTATCTTCTTTCTGAATACCACTAAAATTGTTCATCCAGCAATTCCCTAAGTATTTATTGAAAACCTGTTGTCTTTCAGGCCACAAGATGCATAAGATACTTTCTCTATATTTACCATCCTTCACCATGTACTTTAGAATGATGTGCATATTTTATCTCCCCTACTAAATTGTAAGCTTGAGAGCAGTGTACCTGAGACACACTTCTGAGTGCACATTTCTGAGTACATTCTTCATAAGTAAAAGTTGTCGGTATGTAGAGCAAGCACATAGTACATGCTTTACATTACAGTTGAGGGACAACTGAAAGGCAAGGGAGTAAGCTGAGTGTGGAGACAAAATGGAGACTGAGTCTTCTGAGGACATGCTGAGGGAAGGCAGACTCCCACAGACCTTGCCATCCCATCAAGTATACAGTGGTATAAAGGTAAAACAGGAAGAATAGTATAATTCTGCCACAGGTCATCAGCAAACTTTGTTGAATCAACACATAGCCAAGATTTTGTATTGGGATCTGTGGATGGAGGTGACAATGATCTGCACCCTCTGGGAGATTTCTGCCAATGTAGATGATGGGATTGGGCTAAGCAGAGGGATTGGATGAACAGGAAAGAAGTGGGCATGCTCTCAATCCAGACTGAGGACAGTGTGAGTAGAGGCTAAGATTCCTGTGGAAGATGCTGAGTGGGGCAGGGCAGGAATTCTAGGAAGTGAAGGGGATGGAAATGTTGGAAGAAGAAACTCAAAGAAGTTTTGGGCTAAATCAAGGAATACCTCCTTCTCACAAGCTTTTATTGTGGTCCCACTGAGTCTGTGGTGGGCTGGGTAATGGGAATATAGAGATGAATAAAACATCACATGCCCTTACAGTATGGTAGAGGAATCCATCCCATACCCAAGAGTGTGGGTTTCCCTCAGTGAGCAGGGAGGAGCCATGGTGTATCAGGGTTTGTAAACACTAGGAAGTTAAGAGTTGAAGAGTGAAGCTATGAAAGTAGATGACATTTCCAAGAGGCTGTAGGTGGATGAGAAGGGGCTGAGGGCAGAACCCTAGAGCACGAGTCTCCAAAAGGAAGTAGCTGCAGAAAGGGCAAACAGTAAAGGTTTTGGGGAAAAGGAAGGTCAGGACAGGGTCAGGTTTTGGATCCCATGTGAAGAAGTGATGAACAGTGTTCAATGCTGGAGTAAGTCAAATAGCATCGAGGCTGTTGGGTTAGGCCAGAGGGACAATGTCAGTGGTATGAGAAAAGAAGGGAAGTAAAAGTTGTAACAGAGCAAGCACATAGTACTTGCATTACATTGCAGTTGAAGGACAAGTGCAAGGTAAGTAAATAGGGCTAAGGGTATAGACCACTATTTCAAATCCCTTGTTTGAAATGTGAGCCCAGTGGATATTCAAAGTGTCTAAAATCAGATTTGGAAGGCTTGCTGTATTACTAGTGGTATAAGGATGAGAAGACTGTTTCATTTACCTTGTTCCTATATTACTAAATACAATGTTTTCCATTCTTCAACTGTTGTATGCCAATTTCAGTTCCATATACAGTAAAAATGTTGACCTCTAGAGCATGACACCTTCCAGTGATTTCCCAAATAACTCCACAGATGTCACACTTTTCCAATAGTGGAAATAACTAAGTACAGAAAAGTACAATCTAACAATTTAGAATAATGCAAACAGGAAAGACTTGGTTGACTAAATCCTGAATTGCAGATTTATATTTTTTAAATGATGATTTTTATTAATTTCAAGTTACAAACAAACATATTGTAAGACCAGATCAAAATGGATTTCGGGAAATGAAAGAAGAAAACATGGGCTGGCCCATGGCTCACTTGGGAGAGTGTGGTGCTGATAACACGAAGGCCACGGGTTTGGATCCCTATATAGGGATGGCCAGTTGGCTCACTTGGTAGAGCATGGTGTTGACAACACCAAGTCAAGGGTTAAGATCCCCTTACTGGTCTTTAATTTATTATTATTATTTTGTTTTTTAAAAGATGACCGGTAAGGGGATCTTAACCCTTGACTTGGTATTGCCAGCACCACTCTCACCCAGTGAGCAAACCAGCCATCACTATATGGGATCCGAACCCGTGGCCTTGGTGTTATCAGCACCGCACTCTCCCGAGTGAGCCATAGGCCGGCCCCCCTTACTGGTCTTTAAAAAAAAAAGGTGAAAACTTACAGATTGCATTAATAACATATGTATTAATTTTAATGGCTTGACAGAGCATTACATATCTTTTAAATTAATTTAATCATCTTAATAGGAAACAACTGGAGTTTGTGCTGCATATAGTCTGCAGTCAACTTCAAGGTCTCAGGCACTGACTCCATCAGAAAGACTACTACTTATTTTTACATTTATGGAGGTAAAGTAATTGTGAAGAGTTACAGTAAACAACATATAGGTAAACTAGATAAACTTGGTATAGCACAAAAACAGAACATTTGTTGACAGGATATTTAAAGATAAACTTTCTTTAAAGTACAAACATTCTCCTAGTTCTTCATGATTTGCTAGTTCTTAATGATGAAAACTTTTAAAAAGTTATGTTACATAAAAATTATGTTGAAAATTCACACCTAGGCTCAGTGGTTCACAAAATAAGATACAAAACATGAGCTTAAAATCATGAAGCAAAACTTT